CCCAATGTTTCCTTAGAGAAATAAAAAGATGTTGTTCTAGCCCACACTGTCTGGCCTCAGACAGGAGTATTAAGCGCCAACTGTGGAGCAGTCTGGTGCAATGCCGTTTCACATCCACCTATAATTCATTAATGCAATTGAGAATGGGTGTCGGGTGTCATAATAGGTAGAGAGCACATTTCATGCTTTTCCTGAAACACAAGCTCCACACATGTGAGTGAAACGGGGAGACAGATGCAAAATGAACAATCTAGAATCCACAGATGAAGAATGCAGAGTACAATAGGAAACAGCAGAGAGAGAGAGAGTAACATGACTGTTTGTCTGCTCTAAAAGTATTCATCATATGCAGTCCACCTCTCTGATACTCACAAACTCATTTACGCCCATGTAGCTCATGCCATCAATCGCACCAGCAGTATGAACAACTGGATGAATACTAACTTTTCCTGGGCTCACTTAACCTGGGTCTATAATACACATTCTGATTTGGGTAATATTATCGAAATGGCAAAATTACATCACTTATGCAATTTTTCTAGCAATTATCAATAATTGTTATTCATGTACCTGCTCAGCCAGGAAACAAAACTGTGAAATTATGAGTACTAAATTATGGAATAAAGTATCAAATATAATGATTTATATTGAATGATATATTGTATAATTGAGTTTAATATAGAGAAAATAATCATTTTAAAATAATGGTTAAATAGAATTTTCATGCTGATAATACATTTTGAAATGAAAAATATTGCTTTAGAAAAATGCATATTTATGCATTAAAATTATACATTTTAATATAATGACAATATATAATTTGTAATGAAAAAGACAAAAATGCATACTGTATATCAACTTTCGTAACACACCACTAATAAATAACTAGATGAATATTCAGTTTCAATTGTTGTAATACAATGCCAAAAATATTAATTTAGAGAAAACACATATTGTATGTCAACTTTTTATTTAATAACACTCTATACTTTTTAAAGAAAAATTTAAATCAGAAACATGCATATTGTATATTAATTTGTGTAACATAATGCAACATATAATTTCTAATGGAAAAAAATAGATTAGAAATATACATACTGTATAGCATTTTTTGTGAGTACATTTTCAGCAAATTGTTATGTTTGCGTGAACAATTGTGTTAAGGAGATTTTATTTGTGATCTTTTCTAATTTATAGTCAATATAGTTCTGCAATTAAGGTGTTTTAGCATCTGAGACAATGGTCATACATAAAGAAAACAGCTGAGATCTCTAAGATTGGCATCTTAGAGCACAGGTATAGATCTTTTCAGCACTTTCTTCCAACATTTATCAGAGTATGCATGTCCACTACCTGTTTAATAGATCTGTGTGAGTGTATAAAGAAGTGACATGATGTTCATTTGTCTGTGAGTGTTTCAGTGAGTGTGTGAGTGTGATCCGCTCTGATCGTGTATATGTTGGCTCCAGCTGTGCTGTGCTCTCAAGCAGAATGGGAGAGGGAAGTGTAAAGACTGGAGCAGGTTTTGCCCTCCCAGCACCTCTCACCCTCACATTGCACTTCCTCCTCACTAATTAAGACCCACAGCAGGAGCTAGAGAACAGCTGGCTGAGAGTGTGTGTGAGAGACAGGCGGACAGGGACGGAATGAGCGAAACAGAGGGAGAGAGATCTGTCTGTCTCACCTTCACAGTGCTTGCCATCTCCCTTGTAACCAGTCTTGCAGATGCACTTGAAGGACTTTGGAGTGTTTTGGCAGAGAGCATCGATGTGACAGTCGTCTGTGGATTCGGAGCACTCGTCGGCATCTGTGGAGTAATCACATGGGCAAAGATTTAGCTAAACGCAATTGTTACACATCCCAGATCTGGAAAGATTATAATGTCACATTAGACAGAAAGTGACACTTTTTTTGTCTAATAGATAACTGAACATTTCCAGGCAGCTGAGTAAGTAAGAAAGATATGAGCTAAATGTCAGTTTCTAAAAACATTACAACCTTTCTATTTAAATGCGATAAGCTTTTAAATCTTTTTGTCCATCGCCATCTTTTACAAACCGAACACGTTCAAACAGAAGAGCAAGAATGAGTTCCAGAAACACCTAAATCCATCCAAGGCACATCAATGTACCTAAAGACAAACTAGTCAAATTGAATAAAAAAAAAACATTGTCTTTCAAGAAAAATCAATGTTTTCCGTGTCTCTGACAGGGGGTTTGGGGTGTGGTACTTTACTCTTTGTCACTGATCTGAGAGCAGTTGGCTTTTTCTTATGAGGATCGTATTGCTGGTTTAGACAGGTGAAGCTGAAGAAAACAGAACAGAACAAAAATGACCAAATCTACTCAGAGAGGACAAAAGAAAAACCAATAGTGTCCAATAAAGTGATATATTGATTCACCTAAAAAGCAGGAATGATGCTCATTCAAGCTCCAAATACAGAAGTGAATAAATAAATAAATAAATAAGCAGACTCCTGGAAAGCTCATTTAGGAGAAAGTGTCTTTTTGAAGAGGTAAATGAGGTGGTTTGGTTGGATATTGATGTGTAGCCTTACCAGTACCACACCACTGGCCCCTCAACCTCTCCTCTGGCTTTTTATCATATGTATGGGCTAAATCGAGTGTTTCTTTCAACTTTACGCAAACGGAGCACCTTTTGTGCACCGTTGCGCTCTTTTCATCCAACATCTAAACTATACATGGAGAAAGAAAATCAGAGTACTGTTTGTGCATTTCAGAACGTAATGTCATAAAATAATGTCTATTTGAAAAGCTTCAAAACATAAAAAGCCAAAAGTCGACTACGCGCAATCGATAAACTCATTTGGAGATGAGCTGGGCTATTCATCTCTGTGTTTATTTGAAAAAGCATGCGTTCGACCTAAAATACACAGATGAAAATATAAAACACCATTAAATCTTCAGTAGTGTCGTGGTTAAAAAGAACCGACGATCTGTTTTTATCGTTTGTCTAGTCTCATTATTGACTTTTCAAGGCATTCATTATGGAGAGACACAATGCGTATTGATGGTAGTGGAGGAGTGAGGGGTCGATAAGCCCCCCGAGCCAACCCCATCAAGGCGGCTCATGTTCCTATAGACCCCAAGGGAGTCCGATGAGACCCCGGCAAAAGCTCTCCTTATGGAATATCACGCGTAAAACAAGACAGACGCGTTCAAATACGCATATAGCCTACCTTATGCGGTAATGAGAGGGCACAATTTCAAACAAAGTATGACTAAATGATTATTCTAAATGAATGCAATTTCAGGTTTAATAATAGGCTAATGCAATTACATGGAAATCATGTGCAAAATCATGCAACCACTGACTTATATCCTATTTCAGGTATTAAAAGTTTCACCAAATAAATGATGTGAAAGGTACAGGGGGAAAAAACGGTGGAACACTTACCTGCGACTCCAACATTTCCCATGACATCTAAAGTATTTATGAGGAGGAAAAACAAACAGACGTCCCAAGAGAAGCAGGCAGGAGCCATGGTTAGAGGCTGTGAGTGAATGGACTTCTCCAGTTGTGCGTTTCTTTGATAAGAAGCGTTTCAGCTGCTGCTGGCAGAAAGAGCACAAGAGCCCGAGCCTCGAGACGCCTGCTGATTGGTTTGCGCACATTTGAGGAGGAGATGGGGGGTGGAAGGAAGGGGGCAGAGAGAGAGAGAGAGAGTGCCTAGATAGATAGATAGATAGATAGATAGATAGATAGATAGATAGATAGATAGATAGATAGCATATCGAAAAAGAACAATAAACATTAAGCAATATAAAGGTTAAAAACATAAATAAGTAGTCTATATTAAGGAAATACATAACTTTATACACACATGATGTCATTATATAAAATCTAGATTTTGCAATAATTCAGTTCTGCTTTGGTGTGTTCCATTCCTGTCAAGAGTAAAATTATATGTTTAAATTGCGCGTCTGTGACTGACAGCTTGCTGTCAAACCTGAGTGAACCAATAATGTGTAACAGTAAATACAAACGTTCCTGATATCTATAGCATTCCCCAGTAATCGTGTGCAATAAAACCTTCAATTGACATTTAAAAAAAACTGGAAGTGCTTCTCAGTTTGGATTAATCTAATCATCATAGCACGATAAAAGTTGTAGTTTTTAGCTCAACAAGAAAGATTCTCCCAACTTTGCTTCTGTAAAAGCAGCGACTTGTTAAAAGTCATGTTAATCAAGAAAAATACCAAACACTAAAGAGGTTATACTGCCTTCTCCCGGAGAAATAGAAGGACAGCATTACAAAAAGCACTGTGTCTTGTAATGTAATAATGGATAACGGTTTTAAAATATAATTGTATAGAGACTGCATTTTGCATTAAAAAAAAGAGCAATTCCTAGAGTTAATAGAAAAACTAAAACACTAGAAAAATATTTCCTCATTTATGTCACTTTTAAAGATTGTACCAATGATTAGATTATTGTTTAAAGATAATATTACACTAATTACATTATTTTTCCAGGCTTGCATAAATCACAAATTTAAATCCGTGATATTTTCATCATTATACTTTGGTAACGTTAGGCTATATCAAGGTAGGACACTAAAAAAGTATCACAGAACATATCCCAAAAACCTGGTAATAAGTAAGAAATAATAGTTTGTAACTGTTACGTGACCCGAGTAAGTTAACGTTACAACAAAACGATTTTTTTTGACGCATTATCAGCAAAACACCTGTCTTTGATAGTAAGTTCACAAAACAGACAAAACAATCTGTCGTAACGTTACTCCTCCTAGTTGTGACATTACTCTCTCTCTCTGAGGGTCTGAAAGACGCACTCTATATACACAGGTGCATCTCAATAAATTAGAATGTCGTGGAAAAGTTCATTTATTTCAGTAATTCCGACATTCTAATTTATTGAGACGCACCTGTACTCCTTAAATTTGAACGCGCGCAACGCAAAGGCACGTAAGCGGCGCACAGAACCAGGACACGCCCACTACGCACGACGTCAAATCATTCTAGCCAATCGCCGTCCAGGTTCACCTAGCAGTTGCGTGTCATGGCGTCCTCCTTGAAGGGGGTTGGGTTCACTGCTTCATTGTAGTGCGATATTTTACATTCCCACGATCAGCTGAGCGGCCTCAATACGATTAGGATATTATTGCACTAGCAATGGGGACTGTGCACGCACGGGTAAATGTTTTCCTAAAGACTCGGGGTGAAATATGCTTGTTTTGTCTGTGACCTCTTGTGTTCAGGTTTATTGCTTGCCTTGCGTGTTATTGTATTGTTACAGAAAGCTATCTAATGCGTCTTTGTGCAAGTGCCGCTGGATATGGCTGTATATGTGTGCAAAAAACAAAACTGGTCATGTTTGTTTTGTAGAGTATGGATTCTTACCCCATGCATGGGCGAGACTTGGGCGTTAACCCAGATGATTTGGAAGTGATGGAGGCGGTGCAAGAAACGAAACAAGAGGTTTTAGAAAATAAAAATGTAAGTTATCTTAAACTCGTACTAAATCAAATCTTTTATACTGATAAAATTGAGCTGTCATGCTTTTTTTGGATATGTACCATGGTTATACCATGTTAGATGTCATGGTGCATAAATTTGGTCAACATGAATATACCACTTTTCATATCAGACTATACCAACCTAACAGTATCTGATGGTAATACTACCATAGTATTTTCCAGTATACAGTAGTACTGAAATACATGTATTTGCATCAAGTACTTCTAATAATACCATGTCCAAAACCTGCAGTCTCACACTATGACATCTCTGACTGTTCTCATTTAGGTTGTTGTAGAGCACGTCAACATTGAAGGGCTGGGCAGAACTAAAGAGGATTACTTGGGCTATGAAATCTCTGATGTCTTCACTGCCAGGAACCTGGTTGAAGTAAGTGAGCTGTCAAGGTCAAAGTGTTTGTTAGGACTGGTTAAGATATCATGAGTGGTGATAGACCTAAATCGTCCAGTTCAGCCGATTAACAGAAGGGTTTATTCCATCTCGTAAATTTTGCGACTGCCTTCTCAATGGATATTGCACATTTCCTGACATTTTATAATTTGGACACAGTTTGGATATAACTTCCCTATAAATAAAAGTATCTGCTAAATGTGAAACACTTAATGAACACATCTTACGTCTGTCATTAAATTGTATGAAACATATCAGCATTATATTGGCCATAGATATCAGCCATTCCACACAAAAAAAAAACATATTGCTCGATCACTAATTATGAAATGAGGTAACAAGCTCAGTGTTTCCACAGGTGATGAGAAAATCCCACGAGGCCAGACAGAGGTTGCTCCGTCTAGGCATATTCAAAGAAGTGGAGGTGGTGATTGACATTTCAGAAGGTACTACATCCAAAACATCTTCATGCTTGATTCGGTTATAGACCTCTCAGTGGAAAGTGTCCAGTTTTTCTGGACTGAGCTGTTGCATTCCCCTCAGAGAGGCTGTCTAGCCCTGACTTTCAATATACTAAACAGTTCATTTACATACTCATAAAGAAGAGCAATAGGTCTAAAGGTCAACCTTTTTATTGTCAGTATTAGATCTGTAGCATATACTGTAGGAGAGACAAGTTGTTTAGAAATTCAACCTGGCTTCATAATATATTTGCAGGATTTTTTTATTAACTTCATAGAGGAGTCCGCTATGCCTTAACATTCAGCTATGGTGTTGTTTGTACAATGTCTTTTTGCTCTCCTCTTTAGGAGCAGACGCGCTGCCAAATGGACTCGATGTTACATTTGAGGTGACTGAGCTTAAACGACTTACTGGCAGTTATAATACCATGGTTGGAAACAATGAAGGCAGTATGGTAAGAACCATAATACACACATATATTGCTTTGCATCCTACCCTTGCCATGTTGCCTTGCCAACTAACTAAAATCATTTATAAATTATTAAATGATAAAATAAAAATGAAAGCTGTAAATATTTGACCCTGGACCACAAAACCAGTCATAAGGGTCAATTTTTCTAAATTGACATTTATACATCATCTGAAGGCTGAATAAATAAGCTTCCCATTGATGTATGGTTTGTTAGGATAGGACAATATTTGGCCCAGATACAACTATTTGAAAATCTGGAATCTGAGGGTGCAAAAAAAATCTAAATATTGAGAAAATCGCCTTTAAAGTTGTCCAAATTAAGTTCTTAGCAATGCATACTAAACAAAATGTAACTTATGATATATTTACGGTAGGAAATTTACAAAATATCTTCATGGAACATGATCTTTACTTAATATCCTAATGATTTTTGGCATAAAAGAAAAATCGATAATTTTGACCCATACAAAGTATCGTTGGCTATTGCTACAAATATACTCATGCTATTTATGACTGGTTTTGTGGTCCAGGGTCACATATAAGAATAAAAGGTTACTCTCAAATGAGATCTCCATTCAGACTATAAAAAAATAAAAGGAATAGAATGTTTCATATGAATCATAATAATAACAATATGAATAATATGTATAATAACATTTTCAGTCAGGATGGAGTATTGTTTTATTATCACCAACTCTCACTTTTTCTGTGTGGTTTCTACATAATGTGTCAATTTGTGTTACTGCAGTTGTATGTTTGTTCCTCTCAAGGTCTTGGGCATTAAACTTCCAAACATGTTAGGCCGAGGAGAGAAGCTCACCTTTCAGTTTTCCTATGGAACTAAGGAGACGTCATACGGCCTGTCCTTCTTTAAACCACAGTTGGGATTTTATGAGCGCAAGTATGATTTCTGCAAACAAAATTAAACTTTAAAGGTGAAGTGTGTAATCTTTTTCAATGTTAAAATGCAATTACACCCTTCAGTTTTAACTATAATCATAACAGTGATGCTGAATAGATATTTAACAACTTGACGTCTTTGCTTTGTGTAGCTTCGCTCTAAACCTGTACAAAGTCACAGGGCAGTTCCCGTGGAGCTCTCTAAAAGAGACGGACAGGGGGGTTTCTACAGAGCTCAATGTAAGAAATGAACAAAAAATAAAAAGTTGCTGAAAATGTACTCGCCCTCAGGCCATCAAAGATGTAGATGATTTAGTTTTTTCATCACAACAGATTTGGAATAATTTAGCATTCCATCACTTGCTCACCAGTGGATCCTCTGCAGTGAATGGGTGCCGTCAGAATGAGAGTCCAAACAGCTGATAAAAACATCACAAACAATAATCCACACGACTCCAGTCCATCAAGTAACAGCTTGTGAAGTGAAAAGCTGTGTGTTTGTAAGAAACTAAAGTTTTAACTTTAAACCATCGCTTCTGGCCAAATTGCAAGTCCTTAATCCATAAGAACGCTTTCTCCAGTGAAAAAGTCCTTTCTCTGTTGTCCTTTCGCATTAAAATCCACCAACATATTCAGAATTTTTCCGAACTATTTGGTTTTATAAACTGTGCATTATCTGAGCATGTTTCTCTCCCGATTCAGACAAGATTGCATTTTCACTGGACAATGCACTTTTCTCTTCACAAGATGTTAATTGTTGGACCCGGAGTTGTGTGGATTATTGTGATGCTTTTATCAGATGTTTGGACTCTCATTCTGACGGCACCCATTCACTGTAGAGGATCCATTGGTGAGAAAGTGATATAATGCTAAATTTCTCCAAATCTTGGATGGCCTGAGGGTGAGTAAATTTTCAGGAAATGTTCATTTTTGGGTGAACTGTTTCTTCAGTAATTAAAGATATAATGCAATATGTGTCTTGCAGTTCCCTCTGTGGATGACGGATCACACTCTGAAATGGGAGGGCGTGTGGCGTGAACTGGGATGTCTGGCCCGCAGCGCCTCCTTTGCTGTGAGAGAGGAGAGTGGCCACACTCTTAAATCCGCCCTTTCTGTAAGATGCTCCCCGCTGCCTTAATCCCAAGTGTTTTGGCTCCCTGGTTTTAGACTAATGACTGATTTCACAGATTTCTTGTCTCACACTAGCACACCATGGTAATAGACACCAGAAACTCTGCCATCTTGCCTCGAAGAGGTGCCTTACTGCGGATCAGCCAGGTGTGTGGACTTGAACGTCAGCCCAGAACATATAAGTAGCTGTTTTGTATTTCTTCGCTCATCATTACTTTTGCCTCACAATGTCCATCATTGATTAAAACTGTCTGGAGAAGGTTTAGCGTCACTGTTAAACAATACTTGTGTTCGCTCTGTTGGTTTAGGAGCTGGCAGGATACACCGGTGGAGATGCCAGCTTTCTCAAAGAAGACGTTGAGCTGCAGCTTAACAAACCATTTATTTGGGGATCGGTGAGTGGTCTTGATTAATGTATGATGTTATAGATTTTTCTGGTTTTGACATTATCTGTCATGCTTTAACTGCCTTTGAAAGACAGCAGTTGCTATAAAAGTCTGTTTTAAAGAACATTTGTGGTATTTGGACATTAATATTACCGCCACCTATCTCTCAAATGGACCATTGACACTCTATCTACAATCTCAATTAGGAGTGTCAATGGTTCATTTGAAAGATAGGTGGTGTATACACTTTAAGTAAGTGTATTGATTTTCTATTATAGGTGTTATCTGCATCTTTATGGGGAGGGATGATCTATCCTCTTGGGGGTCAGCCTACCTCCATTGCTGACAGGTGTGCATTTGTTTGTTTGCTTTTCAGTGTATGCTTTTATTGTTTAAAAAAAAAAAAGGTTTTATAATAATACGCGCTTATAATTATGTCTCATGATGTGTTCTAGTCATTTTGCTAGTCAGTGTTATCACTAAGTAAGACTAAAACTTACTTTGCTCACACAGGGTACAGCAACTTCTCAAAAATGTTTTAATAATTTTTATACTTTCCCCATCTTCTTACACTTGTGGTGTTCCTGGTCAAAAATGAAAAAAAAAAAAGCTTATAAATCTCTCATTATGCTATCACCAAATCTTGGATTCAGTCTTTTTATCAACTTGTTTTCTTTCACTTAACACGGGTTTTGTATTTCTTTTTGGATTGATTGTAAGCCTCATTGATCTGAACTCATGCAACTCAGTTTTTGAGAGAACATTGGCCATATTATCCACAAATAATGTTTTTTTTGTTTTTTATTCAAAAACTGAGGTGCATCAATTTAGATCAAAGAGGTCTAAGACCAGTCAGTTAAAAACGATACATAAAATCTGTGCTAATTGAAAGAAAATAAGTCGATGACGAGATTAATTCCAAGATTTGGTGATGAAAAGGCACATCATTTTTGACTTGGAATACCAAATTAGGTAAAGGATTATTCGGTTTAATAAAAGCCATCTTGTATCAGCACAGTTCTAAAGAAACATTTTAGAATGATAAAATCCCTCTCAGCTCAATTAAAAAGCCATTCACTGAAGTCATGTAAGCAATTTTGCTAATTTCGACGTGAGTTAGATGCTCTCATCCCTTCAATCCTCACCTTCTCAGAAACACGCTAACCAGCCTGAACATGTTTATAGCATTTTACAAATTGCATTGTGGATGTGTTTTTATGTCAGGTTCTACCTGGGCGGCCCAACCAGTGTGAGAGGTTTTGGCATGTACAGTATAGGCCCTCAGAGTGAAGGTAAAGGTGTATTTAAAAAAAAAAATAGAATATACAGCATATAAATTTTTTTTTGTACCTTTATAATTTTGTACAATTTTTTCTTAATGTTTATTTGTGATTTGAACTCTTACCTGATCAGGTGATTATCTGGGTGGGGAAGCGTATTGGGCTAGTGGGCTTCACCTGTATACGCCCCTCCCCTTCCGCTCAAACAAACGCGGCCTGGCTGACCTCTTCAGAACACACTTCTTCCTTAATGCTGGAAACCTTTGCAACCTCAACTACGGTCAGTAGTCATTTATCGAAAACTTGTCATTTGTTAGTTTAGAAAAAAAGGATTAGTTTTTAACTGAGGAAATGCAGTTTATTACTTGAAATAAAATATACAGTAAACTAAATTAAATCATGCCATTTCTAATTTTAGTTTAACTTTATAATAATTCATTTAAATCATTAAAACTAAAAATACATACAAATTATATACATAAAAAAACTAATAAAAGATGTAACAATTTTAACTACAATAAAAATGGAAAATATAAAAACTAAAATAATATCGTTGATGCTAAAATAACACTTGGCTCTAGTTCTATAGATAGAATATATGCAATGAAGCCTTTTGTCCACATGGTGATGCTGTTGTTGCAGTGAAACTTTAGTATGACACTTTCAATTTAGACTACAGTGGGCTGAGTATTATGAAAACTATTTGTTTAAATCAGCCTGTCCTTCGATTTACAGTAGTTTTTGCTTGACATCATGCATCGTGTTTGTGTAGGAGAGGGACCACACGCACATCTGCAGAAGCTAGCAGAGTGTATCCGATGGTCTTACGGCGCAGGAATAATTCTACGACTGGGAAACATTGCTAGGCTTGAACTCAATTACTGCTTCCCCATGGGTGTTCAGAGCGGAGACAGGTACATATACACATCCACTGAACCACATGCATACTGAGTCACTGGCAAAATAAAGGCACTTTTGAATTTTTAATAAAGGTTAGCACTTTTTTTTGTAGCCAAACCACAAATTTTCCACCTTTACTCTACTCTGCTGTTTTGAATGAACAATGATTGAACAAAGAACTGTGTTTGTTCTGCTTTCGATTGACTTGTGGGTTTTCTGTCAAATTGAATCGAGTTTTTAAAATTCCTCAACCTTTAATAACTACCTCTTTGCAAAGCAATCTAACCAACGATTTGAATCCTAAATGATTTTTTTGTTCCTTGACAGGATATGTGATGGTGTGCAGTTTGGAGCAGGCATCCGTTTCCTGTGATCTCGTAAAACTGCCGTCCTACTGTTAAAACTGGCATTTGTGGGATAGCGATTTTTGGATTTTGAAATGAGTGATCCCTCCTGCATGCACACTCTTGAGGATGCACTTAGTTTTTGTACCTGCAAGACAAAAAATACTTAGTTTTCCTGCATACCTCTCTCTGTTTGAATAAGAGTCCAGGGTTTAGTGAACGACAATGAAATCTTATCCAGTCTGCAAGGAGACTGCAGGTGCTAAAATAGTTAGGCTTTTACAGTTTTTTTCCAATGAGGAGAGCTTTAGAGATTATTCATGATCAAGCTGATAAACCAGAGATTTAATTCAAATCAACACCTCCGTCCACTCAATTATGGGCTATAATATAAGCTGTCCCTGCTATTGCGATGAAATCCTTGGATGAATTATGAGAATGAAGAATGGATTATTAAATGATGCATTTATCCTGTAGCCATTTGACTTGAACAAAGCACCTTTTTTCCTTTTAAATCTGATTGTTTAATGTTTCAGTCAGTTTTCTCCTCTAATGCCAAACTAGGTAAATAAATTGATTCAAACCGACCTCACTGAATTAGAAGTGAGTCGAGTTTCTTCCAGCCATAAGTCCCCTTTGTGAGATCCACCAGCAGTGCTTTATTATTAGGACACTTTTTTATTATTGTCTGAACTTAAAATGTATGTTTATTGTGCACAAAAATAAACCTTTTGGTTCCCTGATGCATTTGTTCTTATTTTGTAATCATTTAGAAAAAGTTGCCTTAAAAGGCTGAAATTGAATTGTCAAACACATACTTTTACATGGCAATGGTGTACATGAACCACTAATCGAAAGAAAATTACAGGATCATACAGAATGAAGGATAAAACATATGAGATTGAAAAACAAAAATGTCAGTAGCTCATATTGAACTATATTTTCATCTTGTTAAAAAACTGTAGTTTTAGACTCCTGAGTGGCAAAACACACATTAGAGCTGTTTTCTGTTTGTCAGAGGTAACTAGCAGATCAGGAACAGCTTGATATCTGTCATGGAAAAGTAAACAGAAATGTGTCCAAACTATTTGCAGGATAGGATCCCTCCTGAGCCAAATAACTGACCTTGAGGTAAGGACCAAGGACCTGTTTTAACCGATAACTTAATAACGCACTCTGATATGTTCTTGAATGAAGAGTTTTGTGAGTTCAAATATTATTTTATTTTGCCCTTCCACAAACTACGGCCTTGAAATCTTAAATTCATGGCATTAAATGTTGCCAACATTGCAAAATAAAAATAAAAATGAATATCTCACCAAGTGTTTTTGTACATATTTTTGCTAATTAAATATTTACACATCTACAACATAAATAAATCGAGATGCATTTACTTAAGATGCGAAATGGAGACATGAAGTCTTGTTTTCTTGGAAAAGATCAACTTTCTTGGATAATATCAACTCGCTTCATTTTAATAATCTTCACAGAAAACAAGACTTCTTATCTTGCATGTCATTTTGCTTCTGATGTAAATGTATCTTGATTTGACCATTTGGATTGGAAAGATTGATTGGGAGCTTTACTTTGAAAGTTTTTAGTGTTGCTAATACAACACTAATGTGCTCCCTAGACATGTCCTACACTCTAAAAAAAATGCTGGGTTAAATACAACCCAGCGCTGGGTAAAATATGGACAAACCCAGCAATTGGGTTCTTTTGACCCAGCGGTTGAGTTAAATGTTTAACCCAACCTTCTGGGTAGTAACCCAAATGCTGGCTCAAAACAACCCAATTGCTGGGTTTGTCCATATTTTACCCAGTGCTGGGCTGTATTTAACCCAGCATTTTTTAGAGTGTACATTTAGAGAATTTATTGCTTTCATTTTCTTTACTTGGTTTTAAAAAGTCTTACATTTACCGTCATGAACCCCTCAGATATCCGTTATGTTTTTAATAATATTATTAATAACTGGGGTTACGCATCAGTCTAAATGAACCGGCGCCGTTACGTATGTCCCGGGAGCGCGCACGCACTGGTTCAGCTGCCACACTGAGAGACCGCTTCCAGTCAAGTCAGCGAACCTCAGGACCGCATGTTCCCAGCCCACCACCCCGGACTTCAAACCTAACCTTTCTTTAAGTGTTTAGAATATTTTCACCATGCTGTGGGCGGCGAACACCATCATAAGGAAATTCTCCTCGAGCTCTGTGAGTAATCGCATCTTCTGCATTGTTGATTTTGCCATACATATGAATGAATAAATGAATGCATACGTGAAAAATGTGCTGTATGGATGGCAGACACATGCATAGACCTTAAAATAAGTTTTCTAAATGTTGGTGAACTCTTAAATGACATTATAATGCAGTGTTTACCCATGCACCGTTATTGTAAGTGTGCTGTCAGCTGATATAACCCAGTGTTGTAGGTGTTACACTTGTGTATTAATTCACTACATATAGACACTATATGCATGTTAATTAGATATAGGGTTCTGTATAGTTAAACTGGTTTGGCACGTTGCTTCGTCGGATTACTTCCAGTGGACAGATCCGTGGAGAGTTGCATCAGCAGTGGGCGAGAATATGAAGGCAGATCATATTACTAATGTCACTATTACTAGAACACTAACTAGAACTTAAGATCACATGTGCACTGATAGATAAACATTTTGCATGCATGATCTTGCTATGACAATCCATAATGACTATGCTGTTATGTATTAGCAATGCTTTAGCTGGTTGTGTCTCCCAGCAGCTCTTTATATTTAGCCCCATTGTGCAGCACAGTTTCAAAGTTCTTTATTGGCATGGTTGTTTTGCATACAACAATGCCAAAACATCATATGCACACATCAAAACAAAGATTAAAACTTAAAAGATGTTTAAAGAAAAGATAATACAAATAATAATAATAACAATACAAAATAGAACGGAATATAATGAAATGAAATAGACGATGTTGTGCTCATTTTAGTCGAGATCTGTAAAGTTATTAAAAAAATGCAATTCGCGCAGACAATAACGATTTCTGAATTAAAGTCTTTGGATAGATTGTTTAAAGAAACATTAAAAGGCTGAAATTCTTGGTATAAATAGTTTGGCATAATATTTTATTTATTCAAGCAATAATAAACTAATAATAACAACAACAGCAGTAATGGTAAAAATGTATTATTTATAGTTTAAAACAATTCAATGTCCTCGTTTTTTATCATGATCTGAATTAAAAGTCATTTGAAAGATTGTAAAAAAAGAAAAGAAAAAAGTCTCATTAAAGGGCTGACGTTCTTGCTATAAGTAGTTTGGCATTCATTTATTTATTTAAACAATACAAATAATAGTAAACTAAGACTACAAGCAATAATAAAATATATTATTTCTGTTTGAAAATATTTTTTTATCATTATTTGAATTAAAAGTATTTTGAAAGACACATTTCTTGGTATTTATTGAGTATTTACTGAATTTCTTATTTATTCAAACATGAATAAATAAAATAGCAAAACAATAATAATATATATTATTTATATTTTAAAACCATATGTCCTCCTTTTAATCATTTTTGACGTTGCGATTTATTTTGTCATTGCCCCATAATACACTGAACACTAAATCAGCTGATAAATATGAAGATCACAGCAATGGTTGGTTTCAGAGAACAAAGGCTCATATTATGTAATTGGACTTATAAACTGATTATGTTTCATATTTTAATGTCGGTGACACTTTACAGTGAATCATATAGTTTTGTCTGGTGAGCTTGTTTAAAATGTTTTAACATTAAAATACTGTTTCTCACAGGCTTACTACCAAAATAAGCTGAAGCTGGCCCTGATTGGCCAGAGCTTGTTTGGACAGGAAGTGTACACAAACCTCCGCAAGCAGGGCCATAAAGTGGTGGGTGTATTCACAGTTCCTGATAAGGACGGCAAGGCGGACCCCCTGGGTGAGTCTCAGATGGGTGGGGGTGGGATAGAGTGGAGCACTGACCGTTTTTTGTTACTGTAGTGGTGTCATGGGGGCTGGGAAGTGTCACAGAAGTGGAAGTGAGAGATGGAGAACAGGAAAATGAGAAAGCCCCCCTTCTTTTGAACATCTCTAATCAAATTTATCAGGTTTGTGGATAACATTAAGGCCGTCATTGTTGTAATGAACACTTAGAGGAAGTGAGGTCGTCACAATGCTGCATGCCTGAGCAGCTCATTGGCTCACAGCTCAACTGTGTGTGAGTGTTTATGTTTGCGTGAGGCGCAGGAGCAGTTTAGTGTGGGTCAGAGAAGAAGTACATCCCGCATAATGACCGCATTGTTTTGGTGAAAGTGGTGTGAAGCTGTGTGAGGTGAAAAGTCCCCCAGTGATCAGAGCATTTGTGATGTATGTGAGAACAAAGAGGTGACACGATCACATTCTTCAAAATATCTTTTGTGTTCAACAGAGGAAAGAAACTCATACAGGTTTGGAACAAGTAGAAAGTGAGTAAATGATGACATAATTTTCATTTTTGGGTGAGCTAGACCTTTAAGTGGATGAAACCAGGAAACATAATAAACTCCATTCCTGTTTACATCTGCTGTCTATACGTGTTGAACTGTAGAACTAGTTGATTTGTTACTTTTTGATTCATCTCCAAAAAAAATCATGATTACATAATATGCTGATTACAATTTTAATGACTGTATTGAGGTGGTGAACAGTGCCCAGGGTACTGTAATATTGAAGTCCTTTGAAGTTGATACAGTGGTAATACTCGGCCTGCACTAACAGTTTATTACTGATACATTCATAGATTCAGATATAAAAGACACGGTCAGTTACTTAAGTATTCATATTGATATGATAAGTTCAGTAAAGTCTGAATATGCCAGGTGCGACCTTATATAACTTCTCAGAATCAATCTCTCTCTGACCTTCAGCGGTGGTGGCGGAGAAGGAGGGGACGCCGGTGTTTAAGTTCCCACGGTGGCGGGTGAAGGGTAAGCCCATCCCAGAGGTGGTGGAGGCGTACAAAGCGGTGGGCGCCGAGCTGAACGTCATGCCCTTCTGCTCCCAGTTCATCCCTATGAATGTGATCGACTTCCCCAAACACGGCTCCATCATTTATCACCCCTCCGTCCTGCCTAGACACAGAGGAGCCTCTGCCATTAACTGGTGAGATTTTACTCTTTCTTTATAACTACACTATAAATTAAAATTTGTTGAAAATGTAGTCTTGGATTAATGTAATCTTGGATTAACATCAGTTAATCCAAGATGTACGTGAGTTTGTTTCTTCATTATAAGAGATTTGGAGAAATTTAGCATTACATCACTTGCTCAGCAATGCAGTGAATGGGTGCCGTCAGAATGAGAGTCCAAACAGCTGATGAGAACATCACAATAATCCACAAGACTCCAGTCCATCAATTAACATGTGCAAAGCTGCGTGTTTGTAATAAACAAATCCATCAAGATGTTTAACTTTAGGCTGTTGCTAAAGTATGAGTCCTCTGTTTATAATATTGCTTTCTCCCGTGAAAAACTCATCTTGTCTGAATCAGGAGAGAGATGTGCACAGATTAAGCACCGTTTACAAGCAAAATAGTCCAAAACAATTAGTTGATAGATTTTGATTATGGATGCATGGATTTGTTTCTTACAAACATGTAGCTTTTCGCTTCACAAGACTTTATTGCTGGACTGGATTCATGTGGATTACTTGTGGATTATTGTGATGTTTTTATCAGCTGTTTGGACTCTC